CTCATCTGGTAACTGCACAACCAAATGCCATGGGTAGGTTAAACAATGCCATCTTTTAAAAGGTACTTTCTGGTATTTCTCCTAAAGCCTGTCTCTTCACGCTTATTCCACATTCTTCATGTAATAAAATAAACTCTTTGTTTTACTTACAGCAAAATTAAAAGAATTATTTCCCTCTCTAGGTTTTAATTAAATCTTCCAGTAGAAGAGCCAAAATGGTCTACGGAAAGAAAAAGTACAGTTAAGTTCAACTTTAGACAGTATTTCAGATATTTAAACCTAATTATAAATGGTTATCTGAAAAATAGCTCATCAGAAAAAAAAGCAAACTTTAAATTTTTTCTGGCTTTAATGTTCTTTTAAATGTTTTTTTTTAAAACATGAATAAATTTTCCTACTAATCTACAAAATTCCAGCCTGAAGGAAATTTAACTAATGTGCCATGTTAAAGAGCAGAGCATATGGCTATAAAGACCTGGATTTTTTTTGAAGAATGTACAGGGTACTAAAAAACCCTTTCATTTCTCACAAATGTGACGACCTTTAAAATACTTCCTAAAAACAACATATTTTCTTTCAAGTCAAATCCAATAAGCTGATGACAGAGTTAGCTTTTATTCACAAATGCAATAAAACATGAGAGGCTAAATGTTTTGCAGAAACTCAAATTTTCTACAAAGTACAAATATTAGTGATGCCTTTTGGTAATGTTGGGAAAATAAATAAGTTATTAAATACATACAATTTTAAGATAAAAGATGCCCTAAATGGAAATGTCATCTCTTCACTGCTGGAGAAACATGAGGATTTTCAATATTAGTGCTTTTCCCCTTCTCCTTTCTCAGGTGGTCATCTGAAATTAAAAGAAATAAATGTTAACACTTATCCCAAGTCCAAATAGGCAAAAGGCAGACATACCTACATATATTTTAGGATGTTATATATTTAATATTGTATGAGTTATTTAGATGGCTTAGGACAATGAAAAAACTCACTATTTTTTAAATACTATTGAAGAAATCAGACATCTTTAGTAGTAGGGACTCACTCTAACTATTCAAGCGTCTCGACTTTTTTTAAGTGACTAGAGTCCATCCTGCAGTAAACCCATGTGTAAGTCCTTACAAACTTCTCTTCGTTATATGTAAGGAATGGGAATCGCAAGAAAGGACAGCGTGTTCAGTTAGCATTTTGAGGGATACCAAACTCTTCAATTAAAGGGACAAAAAGAAAACCTCTTCCAATAGACATGCCTCCCAGCAGCACCCTCTTGTGGCAGAGAGAAAACCAGCACGGTTTACATCTTCCTACCAAAATCAGACAACTATCTAAGAAATCGCAGAACACGTTCTTCAGCCAAAAACAAAACAATAAAGTTCCCGAGAGATCAGAGGAGCCCAGGGCCCTGTGGGCGCTGGGCAACAGTAAAGAAGGGGTCCTGGTCACTTGTGCTCCATTTCTGTTGTCAAGGGGGAAAAGGGCAGAGCGCAGAAGTGGTCTAGATTAAAAGAACCGAAAGAGACGTAATATCCAATGTGACAAAACGCAATGCACAAATTAATTCCTGAGAAAATATAAACCCCCCAACTCCTCAGACACTTTTTACAGCAGAAAAAACAACCTTTTTAACGACTATTTTGATAACAGGAGAAAAAGAATACAAATTTAGACAAATTGTTAGAAATATGCCATTTTCACACCAAAAATGCACACTGGATTTTCTAATTCTTAAAGATTTTATTTATTTTATTTTTTTCCCCCCAAAGCCCCAGTGGATAGTTGTATGTCGTAGCTGCACATCCTTCTAGTTGCTGTATGCGGGACTCGGCCTCAGGATGAACGGAGAAGTGGTGCCTCAATGCGCACCCGGGATCCGAACCCGGGCCACCAGCATCGCAGCGCGCGCACTTAACCACCAAGCCACAGGGCCGGCCCAGGATTTTCTAATTCTAAAGACAATTTGATTGTACACACAGTCTTATTGGTCCATAGTAGCTATCATCCTCATAAATAACGTAAAGTGCTAATAGTACTACAGGTCTGCATCACAGATGACAATCTATCTCCCTCAATTTTAGGGAACTTTGCTGGACAGAAGAAAACTGACAATATCCTTAGGACACAACCATTTGAGGTTTTCTAGAAGAGCGTTTTAAAAAAGTGAAGTATGTTATTCATGTACTTCTTCACAGATGTGCAGAAAGCTGAGCTGATAGTGATTTTCCCTGTTACAAAACAGCTGGTCTTTCATTTACAGCAATAACTACTTTGCCTCCAATATCACAAGCACTGGTATCAACAGCACACATGGGTGGCTCCCGTCTCAAAGGCGAGTGTGCCTACGTAAATCCTCTGCATTTCTTTTCAGCATCCTGCAAGCTTCCATCAAGAAATGCTTTCATGTTGCCATGCTTTGGACTTATTTTCAAACAAAAGAGAACTTGATTTTAGTGTTTTACATTTCAGCTGGATGAGCTTGGGTAGAGATAAGATATTGTAATCTGAAGAATAATTGTTTTAATATCTTCATAACCTTTTCAAGGTTGTCAAAACTTATGTATCCTTCAGACAGTAAGCTAGAGTTGAGAAAGTAAAGGGAATGCTTAAATGTGTTACTGGAACATAATGCAATTTTCGGCTGACAATTCTTCACAAGTCATTGCACAGAGGTCACTGTTGTGCCAAGAACATTTTCGATGGCCATGAAAACTAATGTGCGAAATCACTGTCCTTCTCCTGTTAGTTCAGCAGCCATGCTCATCCAAGCCTTCCACAGAACAGGCACCCAGAGCTTCACTGACCTGAACTCAGATCTCTGACGTCTCTGGCACTTTATACACAAAGGACCCACAGTAAGGCTGTGAAAGGCTACCCAGTAGCTAACCTGTGACTTTCATCTCAGAAGAACAGAATTCGGTTAAGGAATACTCTGTTACTTCTAATTTTCTTACTAGTCATTAGCCATGAACATTAAGGAGACTGATTATAAAAAGTTTACAAACCAGAAGTTATTTCTCAAGAGGTTATTTTTCCTGATGGGACTGAAAATACCAAATGTCATGGATTTGCTGTGTTAACAAGTGTTAACATGTACCATATCCACTGGTGACAATGGAATAGAGAAACCGGTACTGTCATATATTCTTTGTAAGAATGTAAACTGGTAAAGCCTTTTTGGAGAGGAATTAGACGATATCTACTACATTTTTTAATATGCATATGCTTCGAATCAGTAATTCTACTTCTGGGCATCCACACAAGAGAAATACTTGTGAGGACAAAGAAGTAATGCTACTCTGCAATACTGTAAAAGCAAAAAATTAAAAACATATAGAAGTACATGAGTAAGGACTGACTAGCAATACTGTGGAATACTACACAAAGTTAAGAATGAGCAGCAGCAGATATGCATATAGTGACAAGTGAACAAAGCAAACAGTAGGATCCTGTGTACAGCAACAGTGCACACACATTTAATACACAGAAATGGGTCCTGAAGGATGCCCACCCAGCTGCTACCAGTGCTACCTTCTACGGAAAGGAGAGAAACTGGCGAGTTAGGGAGAGACAAGAGTGAAAAGGTTAAAGGGAATTCCACATTATATTATTGGAATGTTTAGAGATTTACTCAATTCTTACATGTTTTGTTTTGCTTTTTAAGTACTTGCCAAACAGTAGACACTAATGACAGTTCCTTACTAATCCCTGGAAAGGGAACTAGGAAAACTTCTCAATAGTTTTTAAATGGAAAAGTGTAGAGGAATGGCAATCAAAGGTGCTGATTCTACTAAAAATGATCAGCTACAGGCTTTAGATGAGTCCTGAGCCTCTTAGTCTTGGTTTTCTCAACTGTACAATAAGTAGGTAGGAATGATTTCTTTTCCAGTGTTCCATCAGCTCAGAATTCTAAAATATTTAAAAGAATAAACCCTAGTGAAGTCAGAATTAACCTCCAAAAGCAGTCACCCTGATTCACAAATATTTTACCTTCAGATTGTAAGAGACACAGCAAATATTTAACATGATCAATATTGCTCACAGAAGTTTAGGAAAACTACAAAAGGCAATTCGCATTTTAGATGTTTCCTAAAAGTTTATTTCAACATTCAAGATTGACATTTGTCCTGATCATCAGCTGCCTGAGCCCCACCTATGACTGTCCTTCTTAAAAAGAGAGATCACCTCTCTACCATAGTTGAACACTGAGCTGCAAACCATTCAATTCGGATTATCAAACTGAGATCCTATTGCTGATAGAATCAAAACTATTGAAAGCACATTTAAGCAGTGAGCATTCTGGGGCCAGCCCAGTGGCACAAGCGGTTAAGTGCGCACGCTCCGCTGCGGCGGCCCGGGGTTCCCCGGTTCGGATCCCGGGCGTGCACCGACGCACTGCTTGGCAAGCCATGCTGTGGCGGCGTCCCATATAAAGTGGAGGAAGATGGGCACGGATGTTAGCCCAGGACCGTCTTCCTCAGCCAACAAAAAGAGGAGGATTGGCAGATGTTAGCACAGGGCTGATCTCCTCACAAAAAAATAAATAAATAAAAAATAAAAAAAATAAACAGTGAGCATTCTGATAGAAATATGGGCTCTTCTCCTAAGAATCTGTTACTTGTAGATAACTACCATACCACCACAAAAACTATCCTGAAAATGCCATGCACACAAACCTGTGACTTCCCAATCTGTATTCAGTAATCTTGTCTTTTTTCAGGCTTTGAGAGAAAAAAAATTATGACCTGATAAAAAGCTATTTATTCAGTATGCTAAGGATCTAAGCTGCTCCAAAGAGTACAAATTTATGTGCAAATCAGGTTTTTCAATAATTCTGTATAGAAATTATATTTAAGAATTTTGTCGTCATCCCCCCGACTCCCAAGATTCTCTTTCCAAAAAGCATTTTGTTTTTTGGAGGATAAGGTACACAGGCTAACTATATTAGATATAAGTAAAATTAAACTATGTCTCAAAAGCGCAGGAAAAACTACCCCAAAGATAAAAATATATAGAAAGAAAGTATACTTGCTGACAGCTAAATGATAAATCTCAGAAAACTCATACCCATTTGCTTTCTTCCACTAGGTTGTCTGCCAAGATTTGGGTTTGGAGGCTGAAGTGAAGACCGTTTCAGAAATGTATTTTGGATGTCATCCTTAGTTCCATGCAAGAAATGAGCTAAAATCCCATATAAAAGAGGTCTAGAGCAGGAAGAAAACCAAAATCAATTAAATTTGCATAAATAGGAAAAGCTTAAAACTTCTGTTGTTTAAAAGGTAGCCTCCAACACCAAAATGACCAAGTAATTCACCAGACTTGAAAGAAAAAAGTTGCATGGTTATTATCCAAATTGCAAACTCTTCATGCTTTTTTAAATTTAGGAGCACCATTTAACTCTAAAGACAATTTTAAAACTCAGAGAAAACGCTAACAACTTAAACCTCATTTAAACTGAAATACAATTTCATTGAATGCACAGAAATTCAGCTTTTATTTTTTTATTTTTTTTAAATTATCTTTATTAAAGATTTTATTTATTTATTTATTTTCCCCCCAAAGCCCCAGTAGAT